AAAGTTGTTGTTAATGCTGTGGTTATTTTAATAGATTCCTTCGTACATACGGTTCAACAACATTTCTAAAACACATTTATCATTCAATGAAACTGTGCGTATGCGTCAGACACTTACATTTTTGCTCCGTCCGTGCAATAAATGCGCAGCCTTCGACTGCTCAGGTAATGTCGTTGGTATGACCGAGAGCCATTGAAAAACTACAGAAAAGAAAAACTACTTCACTTTAGCATTACTGGCCATGAGTACTAAGGAGAGATCACAGATCAGCTGCTCAAAAAATGTGTCAGTGAGACGAACTGAGCGCAAGCGCAATCTTGTGACAGTCAGAGCGCGTGAAGGAGAGATGCGAGGGCACGAACACTGTTCAAGGTCTCCATTAATTTGTGCTTGTAGTAATTTAATGTGTATATATTTTGAAAGTATAGAATCGCTATAGAAATCACGATTCATTAGATTCTTAGCGTTTTAAATCGATTACTGTCCGAAATCGACGATTCACGATTCAAAAATCCATGTATTAAGATCGATGCATATGCATCTTCAGGGTTTGTAATCGATGCATTGAGAAAACAAGTGAATCGTTACACCCCTACTAACTACACAACGACTATCTTATTTACATTGTGTATGCTTTCTTTTTGTCATTATAATAGGAAGATCTGTGAGAATGTATAACTACGAAAACTTGTGAAAACAAAAATTAGATCAGAGCGGATTCTGACTAACCTATAGTAAGCACCTTTGATTGGCCATTGCTTTCAACAGAGATGCCTGTGATTGGCTACAGTACTCAAACACATTGTAAAAAGAAACGTATGGTTTTGTAATTCGAAGCTAGAGTGCGCACAAAAACACAGGTGCGTTTGAAAGCGGGTGATTTCGAGTGGGTTCAGAATTGAGATGGCACTACTGGTTCTGTAAAAAGACCATTTTAACCTGTTAGTTTGTCTTTATTTGCATTCAGGCGCTCTCAGTGGTCAAAGTTGTGACTCGCTCATGATGCGCGCTATGACGCACCTGTCATCTGTCGGGGGTGTAGCTATGTCGGCTTTTTATTTTGTTATTCTTGTTGATTGAAAAGATCATTATTTGTGAATTGCTACATATTTTTGATGTTGTAGTAAGTGCCCACACTGGGTGTATGGCCGGCCATCTGTATGATTACATCTGTATGACCGGCCATCAGTGTGTGATTACTGACTGTATCAGTGTGTAATTACTGACTGTATGACCAGCAATCAGTGTGAATGCTGTATGTCTGGCAATCAGATATGTACTTGACATACAATGCTAATCCTTTTTTTTATTTTTATTATTACTTAAAAACATATATTCTTATTGTACTTTTCTAGTGCTCAAATAAATCACTTACATGATGTGTAAGATTTTGTCTATTATTTTATCATTGAAAAACTATGCAGTGGTATGTATAATGACAAATATTTTGTAGAACCCTTCAATACATTTGGGGTCTGTTTTTACTCAAACAGGGGGTGGGGGGTTTCAGAAAAATTGTTGCAGGAATCTAATTTTTCATGGTATCTTCTTCAAATTTGAAATATAAACTCATGAGACATGTGACTTTTAACCCATTACTTTTCTAAATTGCTCCAGAACTGTATTCATGTATTTGCATATGCAATAAAAAAAATTCAATGTGGCACAATATATTTTTTCAAGGCACTTCAGCATCTATAACTTTTTATCTTTTTGAGCATTATCAAACTCTGGATGATGGATAGTAAAGCCCAAAGTGTCTTCTTTCCAAAGATACATCAATTGTGTGTTTAGCACACTGTTGTCAGGAACTGTTACCATTTTACGTTAGGTAGGTCATTTTCCCAAAAGTGGGGGTGCAGGTTAACAACTCACCGGATCTACACGAATCACACAAATGACCCATTTTGAATTCAAAATGGAGAATTTCACCGGAAGGTGACACTGTTTAACCGTTAACTGAAAATAAGAATTTTGACTGAATAATGCCATCAGTTAAACAGTTTAAAAGTTTTTTTAAAGTGTGCTGCATAATTAAAAAAATATATATTTTTTTACTTACAGGGCATGTCGACACGTGCCTACAGACATATTTTGCTGAGTAAGCGCCTGCTCCACTTTCACTTAGCTAACTTAATTAGTAAATGACACAATGGCAATATTGGATAAATGGTTATCAGAGAGTGAATCCATGAGTGAATGTATTCAAATTCTAAATGGATTATAGCCTAGAATGTAGGCATGGGCCGGTATGATAACCTTTAAGCAAAAATATCACGGTTTCACAGTATTGTTGTTACAGCTCTAAAATTTGTTATTTTTAAATGTCTGGGTAAAAAAAATATATATTTTCCCACTGAACACAATGCATTTTATTTTTTTAACAAACAGAATATTTGGAACAGCAGTATGTGTTTATTTTTTTCTTTGATTTGTTTCTGAAATGCTTGCTGAATTGTGGGCTGTCTTGCCGCTTTTGATGTGAAAAAGAAAAAAAGAAGAAAAATAAAGACTGACATTTTTATTTAACCTAAATCTGTAATTACAGTTATTTAATTTTAGTTATATAATATAGATAATTTATATAATTTCGTATCATTTATTTATATAATTTCTTATACATAATTTGATTTAATAATAACCCAATTTGAAGCAAAAACAGAATGTTCTGACTAGCTTTGTGAAATTATACTACATGCCTGAAGGAAACAAACAGCAGGAGCTCTGAATGAGACGCAGATTCACTCTCTGACAGCAGGAGGCGCTTCTAGAACCAGCGTTTCCATGGTTACCAATGTAAACAAAGCAGGGCTGAGCTGAAACCCCACTTTAAAGGGTTAGTTCACCCAAAAATGAAAATGCTGTCATTAATTACGCACCCTCATGTCGTTTCAAACCCTTAATACCTTCGTTCATCTTTGGAACACATATTAAGATATTTCTGATGGAATCTGAGAGCTGTCTGACCCTCCCATAGACAGCAATACAACTGAAATATTCCCAAGTCCAGAGACGTAGCAAGAAGATTGGTAAAATAATCCATGTGACATCAGGGGTTCAAGCAATAATTTTACGAAGCTACGAGAATACTTTGTGCGCAAAAGAAAAAAAAAAAACCTTATTCAACAATTTGTCTCCTCCGCATCCCCCTGTAGTGCTATTTTGGAGACTATCCGCTGGACATAAACAAAGTATGCTGTTCTATGTCAGCTGCGTCACGCCGGATCGGTTTCCTACGTTGTTGTGATTTGATCTGAACGAAAACAGCGTATCCGTGTGACACAGCATACGCTGTTCTGTTCTGTTTGAAAGGACATGAGGGTGAGTAATTAATGACAGAATTTTCACATTTGGGTGAACTAACCCTTTAATGTGAATTATACAGACGAGGTGAAAAGAAAATACCATCTAAACTTTTCTGAAGACAGTCAGTTCTCCTCAGAAACACATTCATATAAATCCCCTAATCAATATTTAGGATTTTCTTCCAATAGTTTGTGCATCATGAACAGTGAGTGATCTTCCGGCTACAGTATTTTTCTCTTTGCATCCGTCTTCAGCGTCTTTGGACTGTGCTAAAGGCGTTTACAGACTTTATATTTTCACATAAGTTACATTTTGGAAAATTATTGCATTGCAACGCATTTTGTGCAAGTCCAGAACAGAGACAAGCTGCAATAAGACAAAAAACGTCCGGTTGCCGATTGCGTAAGTTCCAGGGGAAGCTCCTTCGTCCGTCATGCACACACGTGATTGACTGCTGCACCAACAGGAGGAGGGGTCGTGAGGGATTCCTACACATTCAGTCTTTGTGGAGACATGAAAAACAGCGCATACCACAGGAACGGTACACAGCAAAATATCCAGTGTTGTTTAGAGTTGTTTTTATGGTGTTAATTTATCAGAGTTAAAAAGTGTTGATTCTGGTGTTGATTTGAATGGCATTAACACCTGCAGTGTAAATCAGTGGTCGGAGTCAGTGTAATTACAGCAAGTTGACATAATTGAGACTGGTGATGAGTTGATCCAATTTCCGGGACGACCACGAGGAGAGGACAGTGTTCAAACAGGTATAATATTTTACAACCACTTAAATTGACACATTTTCATGTGTAGTTTACGTTTCTCACCATTCAGAATAATATTAGTACATTTCTCAACATTGCTAGAGTGCTAACAGTATTTCTTTTCAGATAACGCGACAGACCACCGACAGCATCTCGAGGCCATTTAGCTGCACCACTTGTTAGCAAGCAAATTGAGGTAAGAATGGCATTGTTTGTTAGTTAGCCGTTTTAAACGTACGTTTTCTTATATTTTAGAATCTGGGGTAGATAACAGGGTCATTTCTGTGATTTGTGTAACTTGACTGTTTAATGAGTTAAATCAACGCAAATAACGCAGCATCCATATTCCCCTTCTTGGAGCTCACGTTATTTGTGTTGCCAAAATAAGACATTGTAATGCATTGGTCTCCAGTATTTTAGTATAACTGTGCATTGTTCCACAAATAATCTCTGACTGTGTAAGTGAGCCGCAATCAGTAACGCACGTTTTTGTTTAGTTTTTTTACATGGGCCTTGAATGCACAGCTTCGGATGGTCCGAGGAATTTACATGAAATATATTGCGGTTACTCTCGACTGCAAAGTAAAATGCAGCGGAGATAAATTATCAGATAATCAAGCAAGAAGCGTTTTGATAAACTTATATTTTCTGCCAGCGTATGACTGAACTAATATTTGCTCATCATATGAGACATGTGTTTGAAGTGCGCGCGCTTCATCTGCAATAGTAGATACTTTAACTTACAATTAACTCGCTGCGACTTCACTTTAATGTAACGTTAACATTTGTGGGGTGACAAATGGAGCTTCTGACAAGCGGCTCGCTGGATTTTCTTTAATAACGTCATAATTTGCATTTTTCTTGCTTGACCAACAGCTTTTATGTTCAT